TGCGCGGCGGGGGCTTAGAATGTCCTCCTACCTCAGAATCCCTCCGATGCAATCGTTCTGGAAGCATTCAAAAATTCCGTGTATCGATTGTAAAAACCTCTAAGAGACAGGTACCATCAAGCGATCGATATCTGCGACATAACCACCATTCACTCCAGCGATCTTGAACGTGTTCGAGCTTCCAGAGTTCAACTGAACATGTACAACGGACGATACCGGAGTGGCACCATCAGCCAGCGGGAGGAACGCCACTTGCTGTGCGGTCCCTCCATTGACACTGACGGAGCCGAAGCGTGCAGTAGTGTCTCCATTCTGTAAAAGATGACGAAATTAATGGTTTTTGTGGTGAACACAGAAGTGTGAGAACGTACCTGGTACTTGATCCGAATCGTCGTCTTGGTGGAGACGGTGCTGGATATACTGCTGAAGGTCGCTGTACCACCAGAGGATCCTCCCAACCACCCAGCAGCCTCTGCTCCCGAGCAACCAGAGCACGAAACTACAAGTGCCCCACCGGCCAACGCCGCAGCCTCGCCTTCATATGTGGTTTCCGATGGTCCAGCTCCCATGGCGCCCGTGCTTACATTGACCACCCAGTTCACATAATTAGTGGGCATTGACGCAGTAGTACCGCTAATGGTGAGGGGTAGCCAGATGTAGGTGGAAGCCATGAGGTTCGTAGATACCCATCGATCTGATTAGAGAGAGCGATACGGATGAGTACGTGAAGCATGAGAGGTAGATATAAATCTGCATCGTACCGCCCATGTACATGAAGTTGGATCCGACTTGAAGGATAAACGCGGTCTGAGAGTTGTAGGTGTTCGTACCAGCAGGTGCAAAAGTCTTGAGTGATCACAATTTGTTAGTAAGGGTCGTTTCTTCAAAAGATACATAAAATCTAACCTGCCAGGCGGACCAAGGTCCGGTTAAGCTCATCGCGGTGCAGTATATGTTGTCGTTAGAGGCCCATCCCGACTCATGGGAGGCGAACATAAAGTACACCCCATTCGACTTAATCATCGCCGGTGCTTCGTAGTCCTGAGCATACAGGTAAGTGGCTGAGGTCACGTTGAGATAATTTGAAGATAGTGCATCGATTCGAAGACCATTGGCACGCTGTTGACACAAAAATGTTATCAATATCCTTGGGGTTTTGTTGGGAAGCGGGATCTGGCACTTACGTCCTCTGTGAGAAGGTAAGCTGAGCCATTGGTATCTTGGAAGAGGCTCATGTCCCTCGACTGGAAGCCGAGCGGCTGCCAGCTCGAGATGTACGTGTATGCGCCACAGATGGACGAAGACGTGGCCACGCCGACCTTGGCCTCGCCATACGAAGAACTGTCAATGTGCATCCACATGACCCATTTAGCCGTCGCTGCGTTGTAGAGAATCTGTTGCGGAAGACGGATTAGATCTAATAAGACCTATACAATTTTTGAGGCGTACTTTTGGTCTCTCCACCACCCTACTTGGGCCAAGGTCTCCACTTGCTTGGAGAGAAAGGAGATTGTTCACGAACGTCCACTGTACCAAGTCGGGGGAACTATAGCATGTAATAGCTTGGAAGGCCGAGCCCTAAAGTCAAGGTCGCGCTCAGCCTCAGAACCCTAACCGACATCGGCGGCATCAATATGACGTACGTTCTGATGGTTCTCGCCAACTGAAGAGTAGACTTTCGTCAAAAGGCTGAGTAGTCAGGGGGTAACATCGGTGCTTACTAAGATAGTACAAGCCATTGGAATAAGTGATCGAGCCGCCATGGGCCTGCACGTGCAAGCCGGTGTTCGTCGCTGTCCACGTGGCACCGGGAACAATCTGCAAGCTGGCGCTGACGAGTTTGGGAGCGACAAAGCAAGCCACCACGAGGGATAAGAGGCGACGCCAGGAAGCTTGAGGTCCAACCATTTTTGCAGTTTGGTGTGTGATTTTCTTTTGCTTGAGCCGATCGAGATCATCTCGTTTTATAGGCGGCGCGATAAAAGCCTCCGAACGGGCCGCCCAAACCCCTCGAAGTCGAAGGTTTTGATGTCACATAGCGGAAAGCGCGATATCTTTCCAATGAGGTAAACGACATCCCCATACCGGTAGTGACGGTGGCTTCTCGCGCATCGATAACGCTGCCGCCTCGGGATGGGAGGAGCTCGGAGGGATAGGAACTGGTCAAGTGATGCCGTTATGCCGTCTGATCAACCTTCGTTTTGGAAGAGCCAGAGGATTCCCGAATATCGAATGAAAGAACTCTGGGGTCGGAGGTCGAAACATCAGTGGAATATTCTGCGCTACACCGAATCCAGAGGCATTTTCAATACATCGACAAAACAAAGGTGTGACATATTTGAACCTTTAAGGTATGCATCGGGTGGAAGAAGTGGAAGTCCGTCGGAGAAAAGTGTCTAGATCCATCAACACGTGGGAATAGTGATTATGGCATTCCCCGTTCGCATGTCACTGGAAGCAGGAAGCTCTGGAAGAACAGCGCATCTCTTCAACCTTACAATAGAACTGATCTACGGTCCGCCTGTCGAGCTTGTGCACACGCTCTGTCAGCCAGCGTGACTGCCGGCTCGCATTCCAGAAGTATGCTGCGGCAATCCAGGCCGATCTCAATTTTGCTATCCTCTGTTCCGACCTCGCTGCTTGGCTTCTAGCAGCTCGGTGTAAAATCCACTGTTAAGGATAGCGAGGGAGTAAATGGTACGTGTTCATGATGTGTTGGCAAACTTCGCAGCATTACGTTTGTAACTTAAGGGCCTCATCCCATCCAAAAAGTATAAACCGCATTGTCAACGTGTTTGACATTAAGAAAGACTAGAAAGGAATGGCCGAATAACGGAGGCTATAATTCTATGACTCATCTGCGATACCCTAGTTACATACTTCACTGATTGAACGAGCGACATGTAGCTAGTGGACCCTGGCTCATAGCCGGCTGAGGCGAATGCAGAGTTTCTTAAAATATTCAAGGAGCAAACTTGAAGGACAAAAAACAATATCAATTACTGATATGCGGAATATACGTAGTATAAGGAAGAGCTAATATATGGGTACGGGTCCGAGAGCGAATAGATGAAAATGAATGAAAGCAGCAATTGCAATGAATCCAAGGAGCGTGACCAGCCAATACGACCGCAAGACAAACTAAACCATCAGCCTGCTCTAGAACCTAATAAACGAAAAGGAAAGAAACCACTATTGTGAATAAATCACACTACATCATCTCTGACATCGGCGCCAGGAGAGCTCTTCGAGGTCGTGGGACTGTGTGCCAATTTCCCAGAGTTGGAGGTGTCTACCTTTCCTGGAAACGACTCCGCTGTTCCCTGGGAATCATTTTCGGCATGAATGACGCGGAACACTGGCATGCTGAATACGGAAGCTCCGATCTGACCCTGTTGTTGAATTTTACAGCTTGAGGTGCCATTGTTCAGTTGCTATTCGACGAAGAATATAAGTACGTTGCATCAATAGGAAAACCTGCTCGCGGAGTGTAACGCACCAGCATGATCAGCACACTGGTGATACCAATAACCTTTGAGTTTAGAAGATTGAGTATGTCTTTCCCAAAGCTTTCCATGCGGCCAGACGACTGAGGTTATCGAAGAAGACGGTTATCAGGGCCACTCGGCAAGGAACCTCTCTGGTGACTCACATCTCTCGCCAATACGCAGCCAAGGAGCGCTGCCATATTTATGCTATAGAGCATGCCACTTTGCATGAGCGACATCATTATGTTCTCATACCGGCTTCGAGTCTGTCCATAGCCGTCACCGCGGGAGCTCAATTCGTCGAAGGGAATAATGCCAGCGACCGCACGGTTCTGTTGTTGTACAGACCAGATGCGAAAACAAATGAATCCTGTGAGGTACCATGTCAGGAGAATATCCACTGCCAGGGCCGCTGCAACGATCATCTCGTATCGTGCGCTGAAGCTGAGATCCCCAAATCTACTGATCCTAAATACGTCATAAAAGACTACCATGATGCAGTTGACGCCCGAGGCAGTGAGAAGCACAATTGGCAGGTAGATAACCCGCATGTCCCGCGACCTGTCCTCGGTCATAGGATTTGCTTCAGTTACTCGCCTTGGGCATAGAAATATGGGGGTGGATGCATTACCAAATGATGAACAGCCTCCAAGTCATGAGTATGTCAGCTGCAAATGCCTATAACTTCTTCGGTCAGTGTGGTCTTTCATATCTCCGACAAAAGGAAAACGCACGGAAGAGGCGAAACAGAAGCTACGACAACGAAGAGTCAGATCCAGCATCTCGCTGCTAACGAAGAATTTTACTTTCTGATGGCCATCCATCTAGTATCAATCCGCTTCATATCATAGAGAGCATAGTAGGCGATCGCTCCATCAGGAAAATGGTCGAGGCTCTTCTTGGTTATGAAAATGACGCAGACTAGGACCGTAATCTTTTCAGCGCAAAAACACAAATGTCGATATTTGCCCTGAGCTCACTTATATCGCCGATGTTGAATAAGAAAATCAGACTGATGATGACCATGGGTAGAGACAGTGGTGAGACTTTCTTCGATCGTAGGATAGAGCATGTTTTGATGAAGAGGAAGACGTATAAAGCTGGGTCAATAGAAGTGTTAGGGCTCCAAATGTTGGCACCGTTCCAAGACACAGGACATACCCCACAAGATAAGTGACAGCACCGTGGCTACGAGAAATACGGTGGCCTTATGTCCTTGGGCCATGACATGGACTCTTGGAAGAGAAAGCAGCAGTAAATTGAGAAGGCGCTCAAAAAATCCTCAGCGCCAAGTTTCGGGTCCGCATCGACATCACGTGGACTTAATTGGCAAGGTCTTTCCATATCTCTTTCCTATAATACCTATGATAAAAGCCCGGCGACAGCGAGATATGGTAGCCTCTGGTGCTATGTGTGGCGGTAGCGACGGTACGTGGAAAATGCGATGAGGAACTGGCAAGCGTTGGGACAAGGCTTCGGGGTCATTACAATACACAAAAAGTCAAAAGCTGATGCGTCCGCGGGGACTCGAACCCCGGCCTAGTCGATGGCAACGACCAATTCTACCCCTGAACCACAGACGCTTCGTGGATTATTGTGCCTCAAAATTATATTTATACAAGTTATAGTTTCCTATGTCAAGAGCATACACATGCACAACAATGAACAGGCTACATTCACAATGAAAACAAGGGAAACAAATGTCGGCAGCAAATACAACAAGGATATGGCCAGCAAATTTGAGGTGACTAGAGCGCGGAGCACGAAGATCCAACAAAACTAGCTCAAGAATTATACCCGCATCGCATCATACCACGTCGATAGTCGTGGAGCCCAAGCTAGAGTCAAGGGTGCCATATACCAACCACCCATCAATCTCATATGCATGAGTTCGAGCTCAAAGTACATGCTTACCAATCTTCGGCGGATTTAACACGGAACACTGGCATGCTAAAGGCCGAAGGTGCAGTGCGCAGTACATGTTGGTTGTTATTGCCAACTGCACCAGTGTTCAGTTGCTGTTAGAGGAGGGATGTCAGCGTGACGACGAAGCATATGATGCGACCAAATTCTCGGCAGCGAATGAAGTCCAAGAAGAATATGAACCCACGAGAATAATAAGGACGGTAGTGATGCCGATGGTCCTTGTGTTCATGCTATTTATTACATCCTGTCCATCATGCTACGTGACCCAAGAGTCATTCTTCAGCACCCTGCTCCGAGATGAATGATTTTTCAGGGTAACAACTCACATTGCCCGCCAGGATGCAACAAAAGAGTGAAGCTTCCGTTAAACTGTAGAACATCCCGCTCTGGATCAGTGCCACCATGATCTTCCCATACCGACTCTTCGGTCTATCGCTTTCAGTACTCCGAGTCTCAAGACCTATTACGCGTTTCTGTCGTTCCACGGACCATAGCCGATAGCAGATGAGACCGGTGAGATACCATGTCAAGAGCATGTCAATGGCGAGGGCGGAAGCGGCCAGACCATTGTAGGTTGCAACGAAACTAGGATTTTGGAATCTGTTGGTTGCGAGCGCGTCGTATGTGATGATCAAGCCGCAGTTTACGGCACCGATAGATAAAACCACGATAGGGAAGTAGATGACCCTCTTGTCACGAGACCTGTTGTTTCGAGGTTTGGATTGATGAATTCAGCCAGGTTAATAGATCCGACATACTCCGCATGTAGCGCTCACCATATTATGAAGAGTCTCCAAAGCATAGGAGGTCTGCCGCGCATGTCTGTTATTTCAGGTGGTCAAACAAGGTTCGCGGCTCAGAGTTCAGAAGGGGACTCACTGAGAAACAGAGACAGAAGCTAGACAAATACGGTATATGAGAATTAGGTATGTGGGTCAATAGAACAAAAGGATCGTACTTTTTGAGAGCCATCCATGTCGTGTCAATCGCCTTGGCCTCATAAAGAGTCCAATAGGCAAGCGGCCCACCCGGGTATAGTTTGAAAGCTCTATAAGCAGTGTACAGAGTACAGACTATGGAAATTAGTTCAGCGGTGTTTGTGCAGATGAAAAATGCCAAAGGAAGAATGCTTACCGGTGTCGCCCAAGTTGAAGACAAAAATAAAAGTAATGAGGATCACAGGTATGGACAATGGCGATATCTTTCTCAAGCGTAAGATGTAGCATGTTCGGACAAAGAGCACGAGATAAACGACTACGTCACAGGAACTGGTCCTTGAGCGCCCAAAATGCGGAGAACGTCGATTGCAAGGAGACTTACGCCATAGTGCCAGTGATAATGTAGCCGTCAGATGAACCATAGTAGGCTTGTCCAAGTCAGCCATCCTATGGAAAGCAAAGGGAGAGCAATATTAAGAGTAGCGGGAAGGGAGGTGAAAAATATTCGAATTACGCTTTAGTCCCTTTAAGACTTGAAATCCGGCCTCTTTAGGGATCGGGCCTGAGACATCCCGGGTGTGTCCAAGCATTTGCAGGTCAGCTACGGTCTTCACTTTCAGCTCACAGGGTACCGATTGGTCTGAAGTAAAAACCTCCGAATTCGACGTGTCACCCTGAACATCGACTGATTTTCAAAAGACGAAGTTCTATCTTCGTGAAGGCTTCGACGTCGCAAACAAAGATTAGCATGATCAATGGAGTTTTATACTTTTCAATCTATGAAGATTCAAGGTAAGCTGCATTACTGGTCAAACATACAGAATGGACAACAGAGTGGTTGGAATGGTTGGACTTGTTGACCGCCCCGCATTTCCCCAACCCGCAATGCCGCTCCAAGCACACCAGACCACAATCAGCACCGCTTTGAGGGGTAGTTCACTTCTATATCTGGTTGAAGGAGCCACGCGGTTGTTGTCGGTGTTCATCCTGCGGTGCCGAGGCGGGGAAATATCTACACTAATTTTCATAATAATCCGGAATCGCGGGTTTATTTTGCGGCAGGCACGGCGAGGTGACCTCCTGTCGCGGTGAGCCCACCATACCTCAGCCACATGCCGGATCAACCATGGGAGTAACTTACTGAGTAGATCAGCATACTATGCATATACCAGAGAAAATGCGAAGTGGATTGGTTAGAATGTGGGTGGGCAACGGGCAACGTTGTGGAATTTCAGTTTTGACTGGACTTGCAACTGAAGTTCCATCTAGAATGCCCACTGCGATACCGAATCGTATAGTTCTTTTCCCTGTCGATATACGTACTCAACCCAGCCGCCTTAAAGTACTTTCTGGGTGTGTCTGCTATGACATCACAGTGTAGTGGGTTCACCGGGTGGTTTAAGCACCTCGCCGTTCCGCCCGCAGCTGCGGGAAAAATCAAACACGATTCCGGATTATTATGAAAACTAGTGTAAGCCTCGCAACCACGATGCGACAGGATGCAACGTACTGTAAGGCAACCTTCGGACTTTTGCGGTTAGGTACTGTTAGGCATCTATCCTTTTGGACTTACGGGTATATATGGTGCCTGGTCGGGTTTTTTTTTGGTTGCTGACTGATGCGCCGTACATCCTGATGAATTTGGGAAAGGATGCACCGCTCGGCCCCGGCTGAGACTTAGTTAACTGACTGAAATTCCGTGTTTGCTGAGTGAGTTCCCTGACACGGCACTCACGTCAACACGATTCGTAACCGCCGACTTCCAGGATGTTCCAGGACATTCCATGCTGTTCTCGCAGCGCCGCAAGCGCCCTTCCATGAGACTAGCACATCGTAGAATGTCACCGAGTGACTTGCGTCATGCGCTCATGGTGGAGCGTCTTATAAAAGCCGGTCGTACGACAGTAGTGAGCCGACCATCATCATATTACTCCCTTCCGTCCACTCACACGCACCATTACCCTCAGCAGCAATGTTCTATCACTATATTCCTACATCTCGACCCTACTCATACTACCAGCGACCCTTTTACGAAGCGCCCCTCTCAAATCCGTCGCCTTTCTGCTATGACGACAGTCCAGCCATTGATCCTGTTGTTTATCGGCGCCTCGCTCTCGAGCACCAACGCAAGGCCGAGGAAGCGCTTCTACGTGCTGAGGAGCACGAGTTGCAACAGGAGCGAAGACGCAGAGCCGTAGCTCTCGATCGATTGAGACAGGCGGCGTTGTTGAATAGTTATGACGGAAACTATTATCAACAGTCGCCATATTCATATTCTCCGAGGGCGGTCAATCGAGCGCATAGTCTTCAAGCCGCTTGTCAGCCACCTCGCCGCACGTTACCAAGGCGAGAGCCTGTGATGTTCCGAGAGCGGACTGCTCCGACTCAGCGAGAGCAAACGCCAATTTCCGAGCAGGTATGGCGTATTACCCATTTGTATGGGATTGATTACATGTCCCTGACCTCAGGTTTCACCCAGAAGCAACAAGAATTTATAAAGCACGTCTTCGATGCCTTACATTCCGACACGTCGTCTCAACATGTGGCCGAACCCCGGCCTCTCAGTGGTACCCCAACTCCTGTGCGGCGGTCACCTTCTGTGCCCACCGCGACTGCACCCAAGGACCTTCATACCTTCACATCCCCGCCATCTCCAACCCCCTCGCATTCCAGTCTCAACTCCATATCCTTCTCTTCCATCGACGCCATTCAAGCAGAGTTCGATGCCTTCAAGGCCAATTTTACCGTCCCCAATGCCGATCAACTCGACTTTATGACAGGCGACGCGCCAAAGTTGGCGTATACCTCAAAGAACTTGCCCTTCTTGCAGCACGAGTCAGACCTGACTAAATTATTGACAAAGTTGGACGCCGTAGAAAGCAATGGGGCGGAGTCGGTACGGGGCGCAAGGAAGGCCTTGGTTCAAGCGATTGAGCTGGAGTTATGCGAGTTGGATCGAGTCAAGATGGAAGCATGGGCAAGTCGGAACGATAGCGGTGAAGCGAAGAATGCCGAGGATGAGAGGAAGGAGGTCACCGAATCGGTACCCAACGAAACTTTCAAAGCTACTGATCAAGTGAATGAGCAAGCACCCAGCACAGCGGATGAGAACGCTACACCCAACGTCGACCAAAACGAACATGGGAACCTAGAGGTTATCCCTATCGAAGTGACATCTGAGAACGACCTTTCGACAGAGGAGCCCTCATCCATCCTCTTTCCTGAACCGGAGGTGACTAACCAGACTGCGACATCTATTTCGCTGTCGACCATGATCGCCCCGTTGGATTCGGAATACGACACCCCTTCAGAAGTCAAAGTCGAACCGGAGCAAAATCTTGGGACAATAATACAAGAGGATGACTGGACCATGAACGCCGAACAATCTTCACTTCCATCTTCACCTGCGTCTCAATCTGCCCCTGCGCTAGGGGAGCAGGACGGAGAGTATTTCGTCGGCTCTCCGGACCTCGAATCGTCAGATCTTCAGCTCCCTTCGACATCAGAACTTGTCGGTGGCGACACGTTAGGTTCTGAAGACGAGGGAACGGGAAGTGAAAGTGATGGGCAGATCCGACATGAAGTCGAGATAGAGGATATCTTAGATGAGGACAGCCATTCGGACTTCGAGATGTTGTAACTTGGGATCCAGATCCAAACTATTACGTGCTTTTCGTCTATTTCTATTCTTCATCTGCATTGCAATCATTGTATACAAT